CAAAGGGAATCCCCTTAGATATTTTCTAACCTTTTTTTTATGTATGCAATGGTACACTGACCTGCAGATATGGAGTCATGAAATCATAAAAAGTAAAATTCCAGAGAAAACTTTCAAGAAGCCTTGTAGGACTGAAAGTCAAATTAGTTTATGAAAGAGCTTATGCTTGATACATAGTGACTGGTCTGTAGTGCTTCGACTGCCTATTTAACTTTCAGGGTGATAATCAAGCCCTTCAGATTCCCACTTCTTTTGAGCAAAATGCTCATAACTATTCACATAAATAAGCTTCTAGAGAAAATAAAACCAAGGGACTTTAAAAATTGCAACAGATATTTACAGGGAATTCACAAAGATAATAAATAAGTAGGTTTCATACAGATATAGCTAAGTAGCTATGTGGGAAAGGATTTGCTCTCCTTTGTTTTCTGCTAAGAAATGCATGTTGGATGGAGGTGGAGATGAATGGCTCAGAATTTTTATAAATTGTGGGAAGAAGTCATGGTCTTCCTTTAGAACACCAAAACATATTCTGCAGCTGCAGAATATGAACCTGAATACAGCTACCTCTGTACCCCAACCTCAGCATTCCCAGTGTGTAGGGAAGAGGAGAATGCTACTCTGTTGCTTCTTCTTCCAGACACTGAGTTCCCAGAAACTGTGCCAGAATGTAGTCAACTAGCAAAGCCTGCCTGATTTACACCTACAACCAGAAATGAGTAGCTTATTTTTACCTTCTGAAAGAAGGGGAGAAATCTTCTGAAAGTCCCCACCAATTTAGGTTATCACAATGCAAACAAACAACTTAGATAACCTTGTCTTGCATTCTTTTCTATGAATGGTTAGATCAGATGATTTGGCTCCCTTCCAACATAGACTGTCATGATTTTCTGATTCTACTTCTTAAAAAAGATGATGTTGCTCTTTCCACTTCTTGATGGGAAGTGCTGTGAAATTTGTCTTCCTGGGTACAGGCATACAGTTGGGTTTGTTGTATCATCAGTTTGCATTTGTAAGTCCCTGATTTGTGAGCTGGATAACTTGAGACAGCAGGGTCAGGTTGTTAGCTAAGTTTTATTTGAAGTCTCTTTCACACATAGATTATTATAGCAGATGTGTTCATCTTCTCTTTGGCATGAGGTTTAAACTATACTGTTGCAAGTTCTGCAGGTTCAAGCACAGATGGTAATATAAAAACCTACGCTGGGAGATGCCCATAAACCAGGATATTGCTGAGACCTGAGCTCAGAGATTCTTGTTCTGATCATATTTGTTCATGTGAAGGTACCAGTGCACCTGGAGTCTCTGTGCCTAACTCTGAAGAGGAGTGGTCATTTCTATGACCACTTCAAAGAATGAGTTTTTTACTCCAGTGCTTCTGATATGCTTGTTGTCTGTCTAGTATGGTCAGGCCTGTCCTTTGGATGGAAGGAGACAAAATCTTACCCCTCATTCTATAAGAGAAGATGACTGTATTGACTTGACACGCAGGGTAACTCTGAGAATTTAAGTATTTCTGGGTAAAAAGAGGATATTTTTGTGCTTTATTTCTTTTCCTTTCATTCTCAACAGGTATGAGCATAATTTAATCTGAAAAAAAAAAAAAGCCACACTGTGAGCAAATACTTTGAGCCATTATTACTGTATTATAATGGATACACCTCAAGCAAAAGCAGAATTTCTGAGGTTGTTTTAATGACTGCATCTTGCCAGCAGATTGGTTTGTATTTTGTGAGCTGTTTTCCCACTTTAGTTCCTTCTGTTCACAGATATTCATAAATAACAACTTAGGGTGTGATTTATTGCTCCAAAGTATTGTCTTTACCACATCAATTAAATAAATACACATCAAACATAATGATAATTGTCTGATGCTCCTCTGGGTTCACTCCCTGGCCTTCTGTTCTGTGTAGTTCATATAATTCGTATCTGTAGATTATGATGATAAACAATCAGGATTGTGGAAGAGATATATTTTGCTTAACATCAACATATTTCAGCCTCTATTAGTGACAGTGTTTTGCTGAAGAGAACTGAATGTCCATAAACCACCTGTCCTTTAGGGGCATTTGGGTTTAGCATTTGAAACTCTTAGCTCAGTAACTACTTTTAAGAAGTAAAATTACTTTTACTTTGATTAATACATTATATAATAAAGACATTGTTTTTCATTTTCATAGAAGAAAGTAGGTATTTATCTCTCTTTTTGTTTCTTACACAAAGGGTAGATGAAAATGAGAGGAGATGTTCGTATGCTTTTCAGTCAATCTCTATTAATAGGAAAATACATTTATTTTCACATATTTCCTATTACCAAGAACTAATAACAAAAATTCTAATTAGTGTTATGCATGGCTCTTTTGAACGAATCTGCACTCTACACATTTTTAATTAATCCCTATCGTTCATATTTCTAATTAAAGTGCAATAATACTTTGAGAAGTTGCTGCTTAAAATGGCTGGGAGGGGACAATGTCAATAATTGTTTTCTATTTCTTAGCGTCATAATGAATTCTATTTAAAATGTATCAGGAAAATTAATTTTTAAAATATACAGCTATGCAAATTTAATCAGATTTGGAATTCAACAGGGGAATATTTTCTAATTTTCAGCATACTATCTATAATAAATTTTTTGTAAGGAGATTTTATGAACAAATTCATTGATGCCACATAAGCCAGAAAATAATCTGTGCCTTTTACATTCGTGTGCTATTTGTTGTGATTAGAAAGGGGCAATTTTTTTTTTCATATGCATTCATAGATGTTAAAATGCAGTTCATAAACACACACAAAAAGCATGAAAAATAAATCATGCATTAGGCAGGATGTACTTACGTGCTCCTGTTCTTGTATAGACCTTTGTTTGGCTCATGTTCCCCTTGTAATCCATTACAAAGTGCATACCTTTTCCGCAGAACTGCTGTATAGGCAATCATTCCTGATCCCATGTCATGTAATTGATTATTCTTGGCTATATATGCGTGCTCCTCCCTGCTGAACTATATTATTATTCCTTTTCCAGTCTGGTTTGCCTATTTGTCAAGATTGTATTGCATTCTAATGCTGCTATCTAATGTAGTAGCAGTGTATAGGGTGATATCACCTGCTGGTTCAGTGAAAATAATCTCTCTTCTACCATTTAGATCTCTAATAAGTATATTAATTAATACTAGACCAAGGGAAGAACTCTTCAAAACCACTCATTCTGTATTGTTCTGATCATGAACCAGTGATATTCTCTATCATCTAAGATTTTTACAAGCATTTTTGCCATTTGCAAGTTATTTTGTAATAGTTTTATCTGTATCTTACTTCCATATCCTATTTATAATAATGTCAAGTAAAAAAATCTCAAAATCTTACTCTATTTGGAAAAGAGAGGAAATTAACTATTGAGAAGTAGTTAACCTCACCAGCTTACTGGAAAAAACTGATTTAAGAGGTTTTATCTCTGTTAGACCAATATGCACTTTTCCTCCTCTATTTTTCACTTCAGGGCTCTTTCAGCTGCCTGGACATTACAATGGTTGATGGCTTCTCAGCTCCCACCCCACAATTCTGTTTAGAGATAAGTCTGTATCATCAGGTATCTCGCTTACCCTCTTTAAGCTCCCTAAAACAACTGATAATGCATCTGAGACTGCCTGACTCCATTCTTTCAGATTGTGAAGTCAAATTCATCAGGTTTTGCCATTCAAAAACATTTAACTTATATAAGTATCTTGAAGCCTGTTGTTTCTTTACTTTTTTTGTCCCTACTACCTCTCTCCCCTCCCCTCAGATAATACAAGGAAATGTATAAATGATAAGAGCTAAAAGAAGACCAGACATTCCACATACAAATAATTCTGTGAAACTTAAATCTTTTAGCCTCTACTAAATATATTGTTAATAGAGCCCCTACTAGGCTATATTAATGATTTAATTTCCAGATATAAAAAATGAGGCAAAATAGCTGTGAAATGAAAAACTCTCCTGTGAAATTGTTTCATTTCACACTCAAGAATACATTCATCTTATCATGACAAGAGGTCAGAAAATCTAAGCTGAAATACTGTTTTAGTGTTGATAAGGTTCAACTTTATCCCATTAATCCATTTCCAGTTATCTTGTAGATAGAAGGTATTACACTGCAGCCTCAAAGATGGATGGAAAGCAATATCATCGCCATACACTTGCCAACAAAATACCTTAAGAGGCACTGTAGAAACGCTAAGGATTACCACTGTATTTTAAGTATGGGACCTTGTCAAAGGTTTGTGGGCTGGTTTGTCCCGGTTCGGTGACTAGTGGGGCAGAGGGATCTGTGGATCCACGCCTCTGGAAACAGGGGACCTCAAAATAATTGAAAACAGTGGCAATGATCTGAGGTGAAACAAATTTACTAAATATAGCATCAGAATGCAAGATAATGCAAGATAATGGAAGTTAATAAATCAAAATATAATGAGAGAGAGAGTGTGTCTGAAAAGTGGATAGGCCTCACCTCAGTGCTGAGGTGAGATGTGCAGTCCAGCTGAGCTAATGAAGAAAAGCAGGTGGAGAAGTGCAGATGAAGAAGCGCAGGCAAAGAAGAGAACATCAGGTGACCTTATCAGGAGTTATATCTCCTCACTGATCGCAAAGCCCCCTGGGGAATGTAGTTCTTCTCCTCTGGACAGGCACCTGGAACTTGACCATCAACAGTCAAACCCCCAGTGCATTACATGATGTTATGATGTGTAATACCCATAACCAAAAATCATAAAACCACGACAGACCTAGGGAAACCAGTGGTGTTTGAGAGGGCTAACAGCATACAGACTACTGTGGTTGCTGAGAGCTTAGTTACCTAAAATGAATCCTGTTTGAGAGAAGATTTCAGGATCAGGACATGTATTGTGACCTTCAGAATCAGCATTATTTGTGCAAAAACTTTGTTATTCTTACAGCATCATATTCCAATCTCAGAAACTTTTTAGACAACATCAAAAAAACTCATTTACAATGCTGGTATATAATAACCACTTCAGGAATATTTAATTGAAATGGTAAGCATGAAACATCTGCAGTTGTCAACATAACTTTATATACCTTATTAGCCCACAGCTTATGTTGTAAAACAACAGATTGCAGAACTTTTTTCCCTCTTGGAAAACTTCTCTACAAACATGAACTTTCTCTTTGCCACCTCAACTCTTTTCTCAGCCTTTTTTCCCAACTGCAAGATGCTTATGCAGCTGCAGTATCAGCTGGCATCCTTTGATCTGGTGACCAATATGACCAGAACTGGACAGGTCTCAGGTGTTCATTTTTCTCTCCATCAACACTTGTTCAACCACAACCATAGGGTACATGGACTTTTGCCCAGCCTACAGACCAAACACGTACATCAGTGACATGGGTGGGTGCTGAGATAAGCTGTGGTGTAAAGCTGATGGTACTGAGGTTCACCTGTGAATGGAAAAGCCTTGTGAGCTTTCCTTCTCACACAATTAATTGTTGGAATTGTGTTCTATCTTCTTTATAAGTGGTACAGAATTACATCAGAAGATTAAACTGTTGAGTTTGGCTTCTCTGATATTTAAGCTACTGGTTATTTCTATACATGCATTAAAACAGATATCCCTGTAAGGCTACCCATAAGAATAACAGTTTAGGAGAAAAATCTCCATTCTATTTGTTGAATAAAATAATTATTTCAGTGTTGATATTTTTTTTAGCTCTTTTTCCTTTTTTAGACCCATCTGTTTATTAATCTAAAGGAATATAGAGATTTATCTTATTACTGACACGCTGATTTTGGTGTGTCTAGAAGCAACATTTGAGTGACATAATTAAACTTGGTGCTGAGACTGTTTTAATTACATTAATTTTAATTATATACAGTACATTTTAATTACGTAGACTGAGACAGGCAAATTTCCATCTATTAAGATGGTCTGCAACTCACTTACATAATGGGACCCTATTTCTGTTTGTTAGTGTTACTTTTCTTGATGGCTTCATTATTGGTGGAAGGTGATTTTTTTTTAATCCCGCTTTAATTTGTATTTTTAACAGGCACATTTGAAATCCACCTGGCAATATTCCTTGCCCTGCACTGGAAGGATGCATTTTAAACCAAATATTCAAACTAGAGGAAAACAAAGGAAGCTCTCTGTGTGTTACCCAGTTCCTCTGTCAGACATGACTTCCAAGGGCTGAACTGGGAAACCACTTTGAGTGTTTTTGAAACACCTGAGGAAAAATTATGTGTAATGTATGAATATTGCCCTATCTCTATGTTCACCACCAAAACTTCATGGCTATGCTCAAATGTGTTTTGAGAGGGAATGCATATTTACTATTAAAGATAGAATTCCCAAGCAGGGCTTTAATCTCTGATACCTTTCTTAGATCTTGTTTTTATGTCCCTGATGTGGCCAAGGGCACATGTATCTTCTATCTGGAACATGGTAGTTTCTCTCCAGTCCTTGCAATGTTTCTATTCATGGTGTGCTGCTTGGACCATGGCTGCACTCTTGACATGTCCTGTCCTGTCCTTTGAAACGCAGGTTTCTCCTACCAAGTCTAAGGCTACTGATGACAGTACTGGACTCAGAATCAAGAGTCTTATTCACAGAAGTCTCTCCATATATTTTTGGTCTTACTTGGACATTGTACTGGAACTGATATAGTGTGTCCAGATCTGGAGAAGCATGCAGAGTTGTTTGAGTGGGTCCAGAGGAGGAACTGTGAAGATGATCACAGGGCTGGAGCACCTCTCCTATGAAAAAAAGCTGATGGAGTTGGTCTTGTTTAGCTTGGAGAGGAGAAGGCTCCAAAAGACCTCACTGCAGCCTTCAAGTGATTAAAGGGAGCTTATAAACAGGAGAGAGAAAGACATTTTACAGGGGAAGACAGAGGTAGTACAAAGGGTAATAGTTTTAAACTAAAAAAAGGGAAGATTTATACTGGACATTAGAAGATGATTTACTCAGAGGGTGGTGAGGCAGTGGCAAAGGCTGCTCAGAGAAGTTGTAGCTGACCCATCCCTGAGAGCACTCAAGGCCAGGCTGGATGGAGTCCTGTGCAGCCTCATCTAGTGGGTAGCAGCCTGCCCATGGCAGGGAGTAGAAATTGGATGGGCTTTAAGGGCTCTTCCAACCTAAGCCATTTTGTGATTCTATGATTATTAGGATACAGTAACTCTGTTTCTTTGCATTTTGTAGTCTGCTTTGGATATAGATAGTGTTTAATTCTTGAAAACACTTACTAACACTGTAAGAAGCTGATACATTCACAGCTATCATTTACTTCTACTGTCTTTGTTTCCTAAACTGCAGTCTGACATTGAACTAACTCACTAAGCTTAGCCTTGACAACTGTCTCTCAAAGACCAATACTGCTTTACTGAACTTCCTTCACTGTAGGATTTTGGAAATTTTTGTATTCTTTTATTTTGGAAGACTTAAATTCTCAAGTGAGAATAATAAGTAAAACAAGCAATGAATTATAACTTTGAGAAGAAAAACAATCTCTTAACTAAATGAATGTCTAGATCTGGAGGGTTATATTTCGATGCCTGTAACTAGTAGTCTAGAATTCGGACCATAAGTGTACATTCAAGTATACCAGAGTGAATTAGGAGTTTATGTTTGGTCTTCAAAAAGGAACACAGCACTTAGTGAAGTTTTATGCAGTCAGATGAATGAATCCATCTCATCTCATTAAGTACCTCAATATATCATACTGTCCTCTTTTAACTGCTTCCAGGTGGACATATTCCCTTCCCAGTTCAGATGACTGCTTCCTGTGTATATATCTGACCTAAACCATTTTTGCAGAATGGGTAGGACAGTAATACCACAGATAAATCAGTGTGTATGAGGGAAAGGGGCAAGATTTTCAGTATAGAGATAGTTTGCAGTATGGAGATGATTTGCAGCTGAAGATAGCAAACTTTAGCCTTCAAGCAGAAACAGATAATTTAGCTTAGTCTTTAAATTCTCAGAATACTAAACTGTACAAAGTTATACACCGAAACATAAAAACTGGTCAGATGTTTTCTACTGAGATTTCAGTTCTTTCCCTCTCAGGGAAATCTTGATTTTGGTATTTCAAAATATTTAGTAATTAATTTAAAATGTAATTAAAACACAGATTTAACAAGGAAACATGTGGTAGGTCTGATCCAGTATGGAGCAAAATAAATCTTTTCAGTGAAATGAAATAAAATATTTAAACTCAAATTGGTTTAAGAAAATATTCATAGGCAATTTTCCCTAGTTCATTGCCAATCCAGTAGTAGTCTGGGTTCCTTTCTACCTTATCAGCCATGCTCCCTGAAGCACTTTATTCCGCATTATGCAGTGTGGTTTTGCTCCAACCAAACTTTGCACTGTGAATCATAAGAAACATATCATTTCAGGAGAGATGATTTCTATGTCAAGCTTGGCCCAGATAGAAAAGAGGCCTCATAGGACAGAATATCCGCATATGGGAGAGCCCAGTGAATATTGTCCTTTTTCCAATTTAAAAGTTTCTTCTGGAACTTCCACTCTGTAAAGTGTATTTGTACTCCAGAATATTGTCATAATTTGGTAGAGTCAAATGGTTGACGTGACAGAACTGTCTTTGCAAAAGAATTAATTGTGAATTATTGGAAAAAAACTGAAAAAAAAATCACATTTAACTTCTTAGTTATTCCTTTGGCTCTTACACTGAACACTGCAACTGCAGAGAACAGTTCCAACAGCATTGCAAGTGCTTTTTCTTCTTTTTGCCACGATCATTAATTAACAGTACTAATGCTGAATTTCATCTTCTAATTTTATCATTAAGTCATTCAATACCAAGCTTTAACTTTGACTAACCTGAGTCAATCTTTGCAATGGATTGGCTTTGGTTAGATGTCAAGTTCCTACCCAGCTGCTTGTTAACTCAGCAGGATGGAATGCGGTAGGGGGAGAAAGCAGGGAAAAAAACATAAGCAAAAAAGACAGGGAAATCAATTACCAGTTACCATGGTGGTGAAACAGTTTTGACTTCTGGAAAATAAGTTTCATATTTTTGCAATTATTTAAAATACTGACACTTTCTGCTGTATCCAGCATGGGGTAGCCCTGTTCTCTTTTCACAACGGCTTCCCTGTTAAGCCACTCTGCCACCAACACCTTGGCAGGTACATCAGCAGCAAAGGCTGTCACTTAAAGCACAGTATCATTTTCGTATCACTTATTAATGAGTGCACAGTTCAGTGAATACATCTGGTAAAAGTCAGTATGGATTCAGCTGATATTCACTACTTCTTGCACCTGTTCCTACATTTCCTTCCTCAAGTAGTTACTTGTGTGCAGAAGGACTCTTTCCCACAGTGGTCAGGTATATGGGTCGCCCTTAAACAGGAATCCATTGAGACCTCAAGGAAATATGAGAAGGAAGTATGAATATACTTGCAAGGCATGACCTCACTTCTGCTTCGTGGCAAATAAAGGTATTTCACACTCGTGTTCATTTGTAAGTTGCATTTTAATAGTCAGATGCACTCTGCATCAGAAGATTGTGCTAGTCCATGCAGAAAAATTTAGTATGATAATCAAAAAGAATATGGATTTTTATAAAATTAAACCATTTTACAGTCCTGTGAATTTAAACTTAGAAGGTGGAGTGTAGACATTTAAGTACACGTAATCAATGTGCTACAATAAAACTCTCTATAATGTGCTTCATACAGGCTGTGCCCTTGAATGCAGCATTACAGCTCTGTCCTGAGTCTCACATGATGCTTCTTTGCTCAATGATGTTGAACGTACTTCACAAAGCAGTAAAAATCAGAAGGAATCCTTTTTGTTGACCCTCAATAGGTTCTGGTGACTTGAGAAGAAGAAAAATGTATGCAAAACATCTCATAGAGAAAATGCTACATAAAGAGAAAGGAAAAATTGCAATGAAAACGAAGAGGACTGGGTGGACTCAAGACCAAAGAGCACAGAAAGAATGGAATATAGAAAATAGAGACATCAGAGGCAAGAAGAATAAAATAACTTTATTTAAGAGGAAAGAGTTCTTGTCCTTAACAAACTGAATGTTATGTTTTCAGTGTCTCCATTTTTCTGAGACTGGTGTAAAGGTGTTTAGGTACACAAGTTTCAAAACATAATTACATTGCGAGGCCTGGTTATACTCTTAAAGAACCTTGATCAAGGGTCAAAACTGTTGTTACAGAGGAATTAAATTTTTTGTCCCTTATTTTCTTAATGTTTCAATTGATACTACAGTAATGATAGTTTGAATGAAGACAAAACCACTCGTCCATTACCTGTAGTCCTCAAGAGGGAGAGGGACTCTGAAACAAGTGCTTATATCAACATAAGAGCTAATGAAGGGTAACACTTCATACTGCTTGCCTCTTTCTGAATACTTATTTCCATAATGTTTTCCCCAAATTATGTCTATGTATTTCTCACTCTAGAAATCCATTCTAGCTTGTTTTCAGGATGGAGGTTATGAGATTTATTGTGGCAGGATCTAAACTGTTGCTCTCAGCAGGATGACTTACCACTACAGGAATGACGTTGGAAAGATTTTGTTTTCACCTTGACTTTGTTTTTTCTTCTTCCAAATGGATTTTGCTCTTGCCTGTGCTATAGCCTAAATGGGAAGCAAGCACAGAGAGAAGTCATTTTGCAGCACTGTGAATTTTTTTTTTTTTTTTTTTTTCTGCATTTGCTTATACCATTTACAAGACTGATAGCTCTGATCACAGAAGAGCTCTGAACTCTAAGCAATCAAATCTGCAAGTTCCATTTTACAATCTCAATTAGAACACAGTATTACCAATGAATTAAAGAATAAATAGAGATGTGCTGACTTATTTGGAAAATTAATGGTGTTGGCTGTAAAGGAGAGTGGACAGAGCAGATGTTTGATGTTTGCCCTTGCATAACTAAACCACTGAAACTGGGATTAGATTTGAGAGCAGGTATAATGTCTGAAACAAAAACATTTTCTGGTAGACTGGCTCACATCAGTCATATTCCACCATTCACACTGTTTCCAGCCACAGCAGTGCAGCAGTATTTTTCCAGGTGGGAGATGCCTGAGCTGATTATTTTGGAAAACAAGTTGCCGGAGGATATTTTGTCACTGCTTGCATTAAAAAAAAAACAACTTCACGTATGATTTATGCCACAAAAAAAGACACTCACCCAAGCATAAATGAATATAAATAAAGGAAACAATTCTCTTTAGCAACATATTTTTTGGCAATATCAAAATAGTCATGTATTTCTGACAGAGGTCCAAACCATCAAATGCTCAGGCTATGCTTTGATTAGTCCCAGTGGAAATTAGCTCAGTAAGACTTGACAAAACCTAGGAAAGAAGTGATTATCCAATGAAGCACAAGAAATTAAAAAACAAATAAGTTTTTAATTAGGATAAAAGATATTTTACATATATTTCTTCAAAAGAATCAGAATCAAAAACATCTCACTGTGCTCCCAAACAGCCTAAAGGGCGAAGATAATCAAGTTGTAGGAGACCTGAAATAAAGTTCCAGATCTAGCAGATATTTGATTATAGAGGGTGAAACATCTCTGATTTTCACACGTCCTAGGAAGTGCCTATAGCTAGTCATTCTGTAGTCCAGGGCTGATTTTCAGTTGGTGGAAGCCTTCAGATGTAGGAGATTTGGAATAAGCCCACCATGGCACCAAGCTGCTAATTGCAGCTACATGCTTACCTGAGCCATAAGCTGGTGAAGCTCAAGTCTGGTCACTAATAAGTGAAAGCAGGCAGTGACCATATACTCCCCACATTTTGAAGGTGCCTGGACTCCAGGGATTTTAAGGTGTCCCTCCATCAGTTTACTGTGGAGAAGAGCAAGCTTTGCCTTGCAGGTAAATGTCATGGATGCACTTCAAAGAAAGTAGAATCAAGATGACAGAATATCCTGAGTTGGAAAGGTCCCCTAAGGATCATCAAGTCCAAGTCCTTAGGTGTAGAGTTTATTCACTATGCATACAGATTACAAAACAGTGAAGGTGACACTGGAAATAAACCAGTCTGTGAGGTGATATCAAGGAACACAGCATGATTTTATGCACTCAGTTTAAAAAAATCCTCCCTCCTATATCCCAGTGCTCTACAAATAATCATTATATCCCCAAACAACCATTCTTTTAAATAAAAAGGTGGTTGTTCCTCTTAGTAGCTGATAGAGCTGTTTAGAAACACCAGTTTTCTTTCTTCCTTTCTTTTTTAACACTCATTAAGTGAATAATACTGACATTGATTAGAAAACTGTTCCAGCAAGATTGCATAATCAAATCTATGCATCCTGAGTAAAGAGTACAGTTTTCAATAGCCAGTAGACCTGGCATTCATATACACACACGATCCTTTTCCCAAAACAAATTAAAAAAGTACTTAAAATTGCAGTTTTAAACTAGACCTATCCATTATGACATGGTGCTGCACTGTCCTGCCATACTGCAAGGATTAAGCGTGGACTCCATCCTTGGCTGGAGTGCTGTATGATGTCTCATGAGAAACGTAGTCTGAGAGATCTGATCAATACAAGAAAAGAAAAAAATGTGAGCATTTAAGCACTATCTGTGCTGATATACTACAGCAGCATTTTCCACTACAAATCATAGGGGTATGGATTATTTTTCTAGTTACTGATGAGCATATTTTTCCCAGCAAAAACACATTTTGCTGTCAAATTCTAGTTTCAAGCAAATAAATTTCTTCAGCTGTTGCTCCATGTCATTGCTGTTTAGCAAAACTCTTTGTTAGTTGTCCAATGCTCTACATATCTGTGTTACACTGATTTCAAATAAGAGCTAAATGTTTCTCCTGGACAGAGATGTGCAACCAAAAAAAAAAAGTTAATCAAATGTAGGAGAATAGATTGGAGGAAAACAGAGTGGGCGAATCAGCCACACATAATTGAATTCTACTTTAAAGTTTGCTAGGGCTGCTGACAGTGGTGTCCCCATTTTCCTTCAGCCGTGGCTCAGCAGACTCTTAGTTCTTCAGTACCACAGACACCTTTTATAAGAACCACACTGAATTTAGGATGTTTAAAGTAACTTCTCAGTGTATAAAGAAACTTCCTAATGGGTTTCAAAGGGATACTGAGTTTATTTTATTTTGAAAAAAGACATTTCAAAAATAGAAGTAAGTTATGAACATGTCATCTGAAAATTATGGGGCTTTCTTGCTCATAAAACAAAGAAGCATTGTTTCCATGCCCTGAATTTAAAGTAAGACATCTGTCTATAGTGCCTTGAGTACAGGCTGCGAATAAAAGAAGATAATTTTCCTCAGTGCAAATATTTAATAAACAGAACTGCTAATGGAGATCCTGCAGAAATCATGAGCAGTGAACTGAACACAAATCAATACTTGGAAAACATTAGGTGAAAAAACACCAGCACCACTTACCAGCAGGCAGGTGCTCTAATCACATGGGGATAGGGGCTGTCACACCAGCTGGGGGCTCCTGCTGCTGCCAGCACCCACCCATCCCTACTCAACCAGCACCACTTCAGCCATCAGATTCATTTTTGCCCATTGTTAGTGCTGCAGAAATAAAATAGGTGGTCCCTCAGAATGCTGGATTAATAAAACTGGTAACTTTGGAAGCCTCAAAGTACCTTTTTTATACAGATTTTCAGTGGCCAATATTGTACAGCAGAGTGTATATTTTAGCTCTCCCTCATCTCCTTCTTACTAGCAAAGATAGCTTTTCCTGGTCAGATAGTTTATTTTCTTAGCTAGATACAAACCTTCTCTAAACTTCTGATTAGAAGCCATTGCAACTTAGAACTGCAAAAAAATCATTGCATCAGATCTATCCCACAAACAGCACAGGGGCCAACTGATGATGAAACACAGTACAGAGCTTTCAACACCCTGACCTTCATGTAAGATCTTGTTTACTCCTGCTCTGCTGTGTTGCCGTGATCACTCCTGTTGTTTTCCACACCAGGAGGGGAGAGCAGCAAGGTGTTTTCTGCTTCCATACCCACATAGCTCTGCATTTAACTGGGGATAAAAAACATACATTAAATCATGATGGGATGCTTTTTTTTTTTTTTTTTTTTTTTAAAAAAAAAAAAAAAAGTGCATAAAGTAACAGTGCTTTCATAATATCTACATCTGCTTTTATTTGGCCTGTTTATATGAAAGGGTGTGAGGAGAAGGATCAGCTGCGATTACCAGTCACAAAGTTACCTGTCTTCAGTGAGATGAAGACACTGCTCTTTTTCTACATGTCCATTGGCATTTGTTAACACAAACAGTCTTCTTCCTGCTTTATGAGGATACATTGCCTGATCTTTTGGTTAAAAGAGTAACACAGGTACTTACCCTGTGCTCCCTGCCTGAATGTTCACTGCTGATGTACTCCTTAGCCCTGTACTAGCAAATTCCTAAATGCATGCAGCCAGTGAGATGATTACGGTAAGGCTGCACAACGACAGGCTCTAAAGAAGAGTTCCTGTGATTGAAGCCATGTGCCAAAAACACACACAGTAGCCCAATCATTCTTCTGTGAGCAAAAAGAGGTATAACAATTATGATACATAGATACCAACAAGGTTAAAATGCAGTTACAATCCTAACAGGATTCAGAAAAAACAAAAAACAAACTGTATAATCAAAGAATTTTAGGATGTTACAATCACAAAATAAACAAGAGAGTTAGGCAAAGCAGACTATGATAACAAAAGAGAATAAATAGAAAGCTTACCCCTATCCTGGGCTCACTCACAAAACACCAGCAAAGGCAATCTCCAGAACAGATCCTTCCCCAGTGGTAGCCAGCTCTTAAATAGGTCTAGGAGGGGTGGATTCTGGCTCCACCCTTCTGGCAGCACAGGTGAATTGCCTCTGGCTGACTCATGGCTCGCCTCAAGTGATCAATCAGAGGTTCAGGCCATGACTCAGCAGTTTCCATACACAAACAAACAAAAAAACCAACCAAAAACCCCAACATATCTCAGAAACTGGAGGAGTTCATCATCATTTGTTTTAAATATTTGCATTAAAAAAAAAATCTTTTGAAGAGAGGCTGAAACATTGTTCTGTTGACAACCATGACCCATTTTTTGTAGTTTTTCTTGCTTCTTGGCTAAAAATTGCATAGGAGGAAGTAGTGAAGATACAGCATATTTTCAATTAAAGTGAACTGAAGCATGGGTTAAAAACACAGAACTTAAAAGATCTTTGGAAAATATTTTGTCAGCATTTTCTTATTTGAGAGAGCTTCTCAAAGATGGAGGCAAACTTCTAACACAGTGATGTTTTAGTATTCTTACCTATGTTTCATCAATTTTCATGTGATTTTATCATATTTATAGTTCTCAACATCAAATTCATCCAGAACTAGGTGGTGCACTGCCATGAAGACAATAAAATCCATAGCTTTTTAAAGCAGCTAAAGTGGTTAAAAGGTTTCTGAATACCTTTACGCAGATTCCTCACTCAGCCATTTTGCATTTTATGGGGCTTTGAATATTATGGGTAAGTCATCTTAGTAGCACTTCTTATATTCATGTAGAATAGAAGGTAACAACCTGTCACTTTGTAGAGCATTTAAAAGTAAAAGGAATGACATTGACCTGACACAGGTACATCTTCTTATTTATACAGGCAGCTTATTTAAATCACACTGTTTTCATCAAGTCTTTGCCACTAAAACTGATCAAAAGCCCTGGACATAAGCAGTGAAAACTGATGGGGAAGAACTCCATTACAAACATTTTAGAACTGAAAAATTCTAAAACTGTTGCTAAATTAGAAAGACAAAAATATTGCAGAAAGGGAAAAAAGTCCCACTTCAATTTGGAATAACAAATTTCATAAGAAATTATAATAGCAAAGCATGGCTGCAGGGAACAGGAATGTACCTCAAATGAGGTAATTGTTCAGGGATACAATTTCTAGGGAGATTTTGATTAATTAACATACTTGGAGGAAAGAGAAGTATTACTTGATTTATTAAGTATTAATTCAGTGACCTCTCCCCATTCATTTCTATCAAACATCTGCAACGGTTATGTTATCTTGGTTTCTCATTCCTGATTATCTCGTTTAATTATCTTTGATATTATTGTGCTATTGAACTCCTATGTCACTTACTCTGTAACTATCTATGATTTAGGGTTGTTGGTTTTTTTTTAATAGTTTCTCAAAATGAGCTATTTTTGAAGAGATCTATCCATTTGACCAGTTCCCAGCAATACTACTTGCTTACTGTGGTAGATGGTCTGTGCTCTGGTAGCGTTTTCAACCTGATGTCACCTATTCTAACGCTGTGTAATGCCAAAATGAAACAGTTATAGTCCGGATTTCTATTCCTAAGACTGAAATGTGCTATTGATTCTTTTAGAGTTAAGTATCTAAATGTTATCCAAATAGTATAAAATACCTAAAGATGCTGTCAGTCCATCAGTTTTTCTTAAATCATCTCCACTTGCCCAGGAGAAGGAAAGAAAGCAGAAAAAAGAGAAAGGGAAGTTTGCTGAATCTTCATATGAAAGTACAGAGGAAAAAGAATCAGTGATCATATTCCACATTATCTGATGTGTTACCTTCTTAGCTTAACTCTTTGAAGAGTTAAGAAGAGGATTTTTTTTGTTGTTCATTTGTTTTCCTGTTTAAATCTTTCAGAATATTTTCTATCAGCTGTGACAACCACTGTATCCCAAATCCATTGGTATCCCGTTAGGGGGAATGGTGGACACAGAAGGAAAAAAGAGAGAGAGCCATCTCTGAATGTTGCTACTTATATGAGAGGTTTGAATCAATAGTTTTTTGCACAAAACTTGCCAAGTTAATTATGCTTTGCATGTGAATTGTACATAGAATCTCTGAGAATCCATGTGTGGATTCTGAACCTGAACACAACAGGAATGATCTCTCAATCTTTTGTCAGAGCATGAAGTATGACTATGTGGTGAATGTTTGGACCATTTGTGTGACCACTTGCAAAGAGCCCATACTTCTAACTTTAATGTGAAGGAAGCAAAATTTTTGAACATCCAAGCCCCTGTTGGGACAGTGGGCAAAGTTGTCCCTTGTAGCTTTCACCCTCTATTTCATACTGTTTTTCCACCTATTTCAATCAAGGTAAGAGACAAGATGCTCTCATTCCTTCCAGCTTTTTGAGCACTCCCTTTGAAATTAAGGGATTCTAGAAACAAGTTATAGTCTTAGAAAGATGCATTTTGTCATTGGCACCATGAAGGCATATAATAAAGGAATGTTACAAATTTTCTGACTTCAGTTAATCAAGACAGGTAAACATTATGTGGTGCTACTTACTGGGACTTTGGCTCCACTGCATACCGTTAGAAGTACTTTCATTGGACTCTATCTGCACGTTTTTCCAAGCAAGGTGTTCTGTTATGCTTTGAAACACTGTCGGAAGAAAGTAGCAGAAAAGATAGCAGAGCAATACTTTAAAAAAAAAAAAAAACAAACAAAAAACCCCCAACAAATTAGGAATAATTTACATTACCTACAGTAACAACTAGCAATATGGTAGCATCTAGAAACAATTAAAGCAGAAAAAAATGGGGCATGTGGTTTGAAGCCCTGTATTCCATAGTGTTTATATTAATGCTTATATTTCCATAGAAATTGTCTTAATAAAATTTTCTCCTCTCCCAGGCTACATATACCTATCATAAAATCAGAGGGCTGCCACAGTGCTCTACTCAGCCTGTTTCTCAGCATTTTAGTGACCTCTGGAGAGAAAGAATCCTCATGTGCTAGCCCATCCAATGATGGTTATGAGCCCTCAATGCTGTACAGCTGTGAGAAAGGCAAATGTTATCCTAGGATATTTCATCTGGGATACCTCAGCAGAAATAAGGGAGATATTAAAGTACTTTCCACTAGTGCAAACCTCATTTACTGCAACTGATTGTGGTTGCTTGCAGTCATTAAAGGACAGAGTGAGCTCTCAACAGATGCAGAAGAGCTGTGAGGTGATCTTGATTATTTAAAGAAGGAAATAAACAGAGGCAGGGGCTTAGTCCATCAAAAGTAAAGATTACTCCCTGCAAATAACTTGAAGAAATAAACAGTAGGAAGGGAACAAAAAATATTAGATCAGATACTTCTACCTTTGACCAAATAATTTAAACAGATGTAAATAATTGTAGATGAGAATTTTAAAATTATAGTTAAGTAAGCCTTTAGAACAGTCCTCCAGTTGTACCAGGGAGTGAGCTCCATTCCCTTAAAAGTGTGTACTGGTTCTGTAAGATACTGATGTGGTTCCTTTGAAGATGTCATCTTGTTTTTCTGCCTCTGCTATTCTTAAAACCTTCCATTATTTTTTTTTTTTTTAAGCTAACACCATTCTTTATAGCATTTGGCAGATCTCACCCCAACTTCTGGCTCCTGATGTTCCTGTTAAGCAGTTGCTGAACTAGTTTAGAGCTCTCCTTTCAATCCTCAGCTCCACTAGTCTTTTTCCAATTTATTTCAAATCAGATATACTCAAAAATTCCTATCCATTTAATGTAACGGACCTATAGTCCTACCTAGACAAAAGAGATGCGTTGTTTCAGCTTTGCCTAGAGAAGTTGTTATGGTATGAAAGAAGTCTGTCAGGTCAGCATTACAAGGGATAACAGGGCAAGAAGCCAGGTGAGATCTGAGATGAAGTATGGTCTTTTAACACTTGGACAAACTTGGAGATTGAATCTGATAACTCAGGATACAGTTTCTAGTCTACTTCATATGAAAAAAGATAAACACAAACTAAAAAAGTTCTTTGGCAACACACAAAGTAACTTATAAAATTGTATTATTTTTATGCTTACACTAAAATTCTGGGATCATCCAGAATCATTTTTATTCTTTTTGGAAGTGTCCCAGCCATAAACTTGAACCTAAGAAATAGTTTGCATCATTTTAGAGGCACAAGAGTGATCCTTTTTAAAGGAAGGAATTTTCTGCTTTCATGAAGATAAAGAGATGCATTAAATTTCTGTTCTTTAATTATGCTTACAATCTGCATCTACAGGGTTCATAATCATTAGCAGACTGGTTATTTAATGCTGAGCATATCCCTAAATGAGGAAATAAAACAACAGGAGAATCCTTATGTTTCATTAATGATTGATTATTTAACCTCCATAATATGAGCGCCTGGTAAATTACCTGGCGCTTTGACCTTTTTGCTGGAATAAAGTACCTTTTGCTCTTGCTTTAAAAAAAAAAGATGCTCTTTTGATGACATTTGGCATGACATTGTGGAAGGCATAAAAAAAAAAAAAGGATTGGGAGGTTCATAAACTTGTTTGCATGTATTTTATTTGAATTATGCTAAGATCTAAATAAGTGGAAGTATAGAAAGAAGATCTACCTGCTTTCACTGGCAGTAAAGTATGGTTGTGCAAAAAGATAACATTTTAGGACAGACTGCAACTACAGTATATTGAATTACTTCCATTCTATTTGGGTGACAATAGTTTGACAGTAGTTTAACATTTGGTGATGAAACTGAAATCAATACCATTCCTCTAATGTGTCCCTGATAACAAGAGAGTACCCTGACCTAAATGAAAAATAAGTATGTATAGACCAAGATGGGGGGAAAAAGCAAGAGAAGAAACTAGGAGAAAAATGAAAGGAATAATAAAATATTTATGCGGACACTAAAATAAAGATATCAAATTAATCTAAATAGTGCACTATTGTATTTTTTTGTGCATTCAGGAAAACAATAAGTGTATCTGCTTAATATAAGATTGAGAGCCAATTCTTGATTCTTT